GTATGTATGTATGTATGTATGTATGTATGTATGTATGTATGTATGTAAGACCAATGCTGGCAACATGTTGAATCACGTTGAAGCTCGCTACAAAACATCAACAGTGTCTATTCCTGGACATAGCTTTGCCGGTTGTACGTATCTCTCAAGAATTCCTTTTCAAGTTCCCTCAGTAAGTTCTAAAGTTTTAGAAGTGAAGGTGAGGGACAGTCAAACATCTGCATTTCATGGAACGAAAGGCTTCCGGTTGCCAAAGACTGCTACCACAAGCCCACTTTTTGTCACGCTTTGCCTCTGCGGCCAGTCTGGTGCTCGAATTGTCCTCGATTTTGGTGATGGCAGGCTGCAGCAATGCATGGATTTTGTGAATTTCACACTATCTTGCCACTCTTGGGCCAATTCAATTGGTGGCGCAAGACTTGGCGTTTTCCATCTTCACTGACTGCTGACGCTGCCCTCAGCTGTACACAGACATGCCAGCTTTGGAAAATGCTATGAGCCTAGGCCAGTGGAGAAGCCTCCATCAAATCCAGTGAAGCCTGTCAAGAGGAAGCATGGGAAGTACCTCAGTCAGGTTCAGAGATGAAAGGCTGCATGGCTCAACCTCACATGTTCGCATATGTTCGCAGAATGTGCATGCTCAAGTCAAACTCTCAGAAACTCAGTAGTGCACGCTTTCTTCTCAATCTTTGAGCACCAGTTCCAGCAGGAAGTGAGCCGGCCTCAAGCTGTCCCAGTTTTTCTCTACATCCATCATCCATCCTGTTGAGATTCTTGCAATTGGAAGATGTACACACATGGGAGCTGTTCCTACCAACGATGCGCGATATTCTTTTCCCACCACCGATCCTTCTTCACGCAAAGTTGTGGCTTTCATCAGCTGCCTATGTGAACGGATCCAATGACCGGCACAACCAGTGAATATCTCAAGCCTACGAAGCCGGCTTCTGCGAGGCTTCTTCCAACGTCCAACTGTGTCATGTGAAACTCACTAGCCATATCACATCTGCAAGGCAATTCACTCTGGCAAATCGGGATCCACTGCGCAATCCGACAATCGAAGTTTTCTGCCAATGGTCGACACTCTTCCCTTGGGCCTTGGGCTGTCATCACCAAACAGTGAGAACATGTGAGAACACTGGTCGTCCGTTCGCTTCGCCCAATGGGACCATGGGACCGTTGGCTGGGACGACACAGACGGACATCGCAGACGACATCACAGTCGTCAGACGGAGTGAGTCACGTGAGTCGTGACATCGCTCAGACGCTCAGATTCTCATCCCTTCACCTTTCTCAGCTCTGTACCTGGCAGTGGTCTCCAAGGAAACAAATCTATTTCCACGAGCCTCTTATGGCCACTCAGAGACTTGTGGGATATTTGTTGCTATGGTAGAGTAAATGTTGACAGCAGGAATGCCGGATGCATTGTTCGAATCGGATGCGCTACCAGAGTTTGCTAAGGCATTGGGGAGGAGCTTTGCAAACAATACACATCCATTGCTTTATCAGCCCCATGTCATATGTATCTGAAATCAAATTCGCCGGACCGGGACCAAAATCTCACGAATTATAAGCACACCAACTTAACTTGCGGGTCTCACAGTACATTCAAACATGGCTGCTCCGGTGCACGCCTCCTAGCTGCCTAGTCCACAAATATTCCATTCTTCCACGTTCTGTCATCGTTTCGGCATGTTTCCCGTGGTTCATCGAGTGGGTCACATCCATCGGGTGTGAATCTCGGATCTATCGGCCTTGAGGTTTCCCTCTGAAGTTCGTAAAGACGCTGAACTCCACCAAATCCCCTCGTTGGAAGTGCCTCTTTTGAAAGTGGTGTAGGAAAACCTGGAGCAGCCGAAAGCACAGGACTTGCACGGGTCTCGACCATCTTTTGAGGAACAGCTTCGAACATCTGTGGCACTTCGGCTTCATGCTGGACATTCCACCATCGGACCATATGCCATTCACGAGGTGAGAAACCAAAGGAAAAAATTGCAATGCCCGCAAAGATCCAATAGTGGCGTTATTAAATACTGAAATACACCATCAAATTTTATATGAACACACTGTTTGGAAATACTAACATATACAACTGTGGCAATAACAAAATAGGTAACTAATCTTAAAGCAACATGTACTGGATCATATGTGTTTTACGAATGAGAATGCTAGTGTGATCTTACCAGATTATAAGTTATAAGTGATACTAAGTGTTGAAAGACAACTCAAACAACTGCCCTTATACAGCCCAGGCAACATCTGAGTCACCACGAAAGGCTTTGGTGAACTCCTCGCTCTCTATGAAGCCAAAGCCCTTGTTCTCGAACCAGAATTTAATCCGTCCAACGAAGCGCTTATCAGTGATGCCAGGTATTTGCTCCATGTCTGGAGGTCGGTAATTCGGGTGGTTCACATTGAAAGATGAGCCAAAAGACTGCGTGTCTTCGTCATCCTCCTTGGACATCTTCATGCTATCAGAGTTGCTGTCCGCAGAGCCCATCATCACTTGGCCCATCATGGCAGCACCCATCATCATCATTGCCATCGGATTCATTCCCATCATCATGGGGTTCATGGCATTTCCACGATTTTCAGATTCAACGCTGTCGGGTATCAGCGTTCCAGTTCCTTGACAGCAGCCGCTACAGCCGCCACATCCCCCTCCACAACTGTCACAGGCCCCACCACAGCTGCAACCTCCACGGCCGCCACATCCACATCCACCACAACCTCCACAGCCACAGCAGCTGCAGCAGCCGTTGCCACATCCCCCGCAGTTGCAGCCACCGCTGCAACCGCAGCCGCTGCAGCCTCCGCAGCAACAGCCCCCCGCAGCAGCCGTTGCAGCCACCACAAGGCTGTCCACAACCACAGCAGCCACTTCCGCAGCTTCCGCAGCCAGTCCCACAGCCGCTTGCACAGCCACAGCCTGTGCAGTTGCTGATGTTGCTGGAGCATCCGCCACATCCGCCAGCACAGCCACAGCTGCAGTCATCATCATCAAAACTGCCGATGGGTTTCAAAGGCTTCCTGAACACAAAACTCCAAATCACGTCTGAAAATATAATGGATTCTACAACAGCATCACTTGACTGAAATTCTCAAATTCCTCCTCTGCCGAAATAGAGACCGAAGAAGAAAGGTACCAAGATTCCTGCTAAGCAAATATCATCAGCTAGTTACGAGGAAATACCCACACGTGTGAGTGGTCAAAGGACGAGTCTGCAAGATTGTTGATTTTAGGATCCCATCCACTTACACAACTGAAACAAACGATATGATGATATGATATTGGTGGTTTGCTGGTGGTCTTGAAGGTCTTGAAAACAATATGTTAAGATGTGGGAGGTCAAATTGGGAGCAGTTGAGCCATACCCCAGTCACTTCCACTTGGTCCGCATGAACCCATCTGAGACCCATCTGAGTTGAATATTTTCCTGTGGAGCATCATTGCGCCATCAAAGCCATCTGCAGCCCCGATGGGGCCACCAAACTGGCCTTACAAACAAAAATTGTGGACAATCGACTGTGCTTCTTGGCGAACTCCATTTCCGTTGCTGCAAAAACCAGAACAATCTTTGTCCGACACGTTAGCAATGATTGAACCAGATTGTAGGGTTTCATGGACTTGCCGAGCCAGCCCAAATCTAATGTGGACAAACATGTCTGGATTTTTTGGGATTTTTTTGCAGCAAAGATCGGATCTGTTCAATCTCTTGATTTCCACACTGCTGAATTCCTTCTTTCGTTCCCTTCCAGGATAAGCCTGTTTCCAGCCAAATCTTTGTCCGAAGCCGCCTGTAAACCCTAGTAGGCCCTAAAAGGCAACTCTGCAGAACCAAAAGAACCCAAATGGTATTTGTGCTCCTCTTCAGTTGGCTCTCACATGCCATGATGGCCACTGTCCAATACCTTCAGACCAAGGCACATGGAGAACTGAAAGTACCGTCTGGCCTGCGCAAAGCGATTTGGACTACATAGAGGCCTGTAAACCAAGTCAACACGGAGGGACTTGACAGGGGGCAACGCGACCACGAAAAAGAGAACACGTGCAAATTTTCTGGCATCTACCACTCAAAGTATCTGGAGAGTTTCCCTTGTAGATTGTCGTTGTGTGCTTTAACTTTTGGTTTTAAACTTGAGATCCCCCCTTGCTACCGACTATAGAAGTTCACCCTCTCACTTTATCCAGAATTTTGTTGTTACTCCGGGGTGAAAATAGATGAGGTGATTTCTTTTAATTGCGCCAGGTTTAGGTATCAGGGGCATTCAGGTGTGTTGCGCCATCTATGCGCCCCGTGGCTAAAAAAAACAGGAAGATTCTGCATGATTTTGTGCGCTAGGCTATTTTGCAGAAAATAGCGGAGATTGGGACCGCTCCATCTATTGCCCCACCGCAAAAGGACATCAAAAGGAAACGAATAAGTTCAAGAGGCAAGAGGAAATCAAGAAGAAATATGAGGAAATCACTATTGGTACCGGCCCAAATGTACAGAACTTGGCCATTTGGCCATCTATAGGCCCCAAACGTTTTTTGGGAAATAGGGAAAACTAGTATCCGCACAGACACCCCGCAGAATTTTAATTTTCTGCAATCCAAAGACCAGTTGCGCCATCTATGACGGCCAAATAGCGAGAAAAAGGAGTTACATGGCGCGGCTGTTCCCGCTATTTTTTTTGAGTTGCGCCAACAACTTTCACCCCGGTGTAAATAAAATGACCTTCACACACCAAAGGCGGTTAACTTAGCCCTCCGGTGGACGGCCAAGAAAAAGGGAACACTTTTTGGGGGTTCGGGGGGGTTTACTGCATTTGACGCGCATTTTCTCCAAGCGCTGCACAACTTGCGCACGGGCACTTCCAGCCCGCGTCCTCGGCCGGACGCTGAGATCTCTTGTTGTCTGAGAGGCTACTGCCCACTCCGAGGGTCACTAGCAAATATTTTCTTGTATAAAAGTTTCGGTGTTTTTTTTGTTCTCTCGTAAAATCCTCTGCAAACATTTCCCAAAACCTGCTCACATAACTCCAGCAATTCTGGCTTGGCTTGACTTGGCAAACCGGAAAACCTTGGAAGTCCGGTCCCTGCATGGTTTAAATAATGCGCTGTGTTTGACGGATGGTGAATTCTTACAGCCCCCGGACCTGCGTACAGGTTTCACGAAAATGCCCAACCAGTGGCCCAATAGTTGCTTAAGGACACCACCCACGTGCGACCGACCCCAGTCGACGCTCGGTCTGGTTGTCGGCCCAGCAGCAAAACCACTGCAGAGGCTGCAAGCCGCAGCGGCATTTCCAGCCGCAACCACAGCGCTCCGCCACAGCCCACGCAGCCACAGCCGCGCCACAGCTGCGCCACAGCCGCGCCACAGCGCAGCGGGAAACCGCTGCTGCAATCATTGCCCCCCTCAATGCTGGACTTGGGCAGCCGACAAAAGCCGAACAAATCGAAGAACTTGCCACCGTGCTGAGAACAATGCAAGAAATTGATTGAACGCTGCTGCGCAAGACTTAGCTGCTAGATGCTGCGATGGATTGAACTATCATCTTGCCACTCCCTTATCTGAACCCGTGGCACGCATTTTGTGACTCCTGTGTGGGGATCGCCTCATGTCTGCCAACTCGACTCAAATCAATAACGCCTACGCGTCCTACATGACTTGCAGCTGGTGTGATAGCTTCAACGCACAAAGCCTACGATCCACTTCCATCTGACTCACTTGCT